TTACTAAATTAGCACTATCCACCACATTATTAATTGAGCGAATATTATTCATTGTTAATCATTCTTTCACTAACTCCTCTTCTTTCCTTTGTTCTAATTTTCCAAGAAAGTCAATAAACTTCTCCTGACTTAAATCGCGAAGCCAAACCGAAGAAAGAATATGTTCGGCTTTTCTAATCTGTTCTTCCGCACTATCAAAAACTTGATAAGTTAAATAAACTTTCGAAGTTAAGCCAAAGAAACGAGAAACCTTGCTATCATCTACTCCTAACTTCTCTTTAATTTCCCGAATACTCATTTTCTCTCCTCCGAAGTCTAAATCTTTCGCATGTTTAAAACTACCTAAAATTTTTCTCAACTTTTCTTTTCCATCTAAATCACTTTCGCTAAAAAAATCTTCCATTCTTTCATAAAAAACTTTACCTATGTAAAAATAAGCAAGAGAAATTTGCCTATTTAACTTATCGCCTTTCTTTTCTAAACCTTTAACTACTTCGATAAGTTCCTCCAAATTTTTCCCTCCCAAATTTTCTATTTCTACCAAAATTACTTCTTGGGTTCTGTCCTCGTTTCCCATTCTCAATAATCTTTCGATTTTGTTTTCAAATTCCGAGTTAAGTTTATCCTTAATTTTTTCAGAACCTTTACAACGGAGGCATTGTTGAGCTCGGCTACGTTTAGTAATACAGTTGGAGCAGATTTTTCGCTGACATTTAGGACAAGTAAGGTTTCCATGTTGGTTTTTACAAATCTTACAGGCTTCGTAATTCACATAAATAAGTTTACCGTTTACTTTTACTTCGTTTTTAGTGATAGTGATTTCGTGCGTTTCTTTTTGGCGAGCAAGGAATTTTTTAGCAATAGACAAGGCTTCAAGAACTTGGTTGGGAAGGTTAGGAAAAGAAACCGAGGCTTGGGAAGGAGAAGCGAGATAATTATTAACAACATTAGAGGAGTTTTCGCCCACGGCATAGTTGTCGATTTGCATATGAGTAGCGGAAATATTTTGTTGGTCGTTCATGGTTAAAAGTTGTCAAAAGTTTTTGTTCCCTAGTGGGGAATGAAGGCTTTTTATGTAAGAGTAGCAAGGGGTTAAGGGATTTTTTTATCCGGATTGGCAAAACAGTTTCGGAACTTTGGAAAAAAATTTTCGCAAATAAAATCTAAAAAAAGTATTTCCGTTATTTAATTTCGGAAATGATTAAATTAGTTTCATTCTAAAAGGGGATTTTCAGGAGCTAGAATGAAATGTTTATCAAAATCAGGGGTTAGTCTTGGCATCGGGGTTATCATTTCGGTAGTTCCTAACTAGGATTTTCCGAAATTGATTGACAGAATTGATAAGCAAATTAATTTTTCTTGGCATTTCGGATTTTTCGGAGATTAGGACTGATTTGGGTTCGCCGAGGCATAAGTGATTTACAGTAATTAAACCAAATGGAGTTTTGCCGAAATTAATCAACTGATTGGCAAAATTGGTGGGAGGATTGGCAAATTAAGTATGAATTTTTTTAAGTTTAGTTTGCTTGGCACTTTTTCTCGGCATTTCGGAGTTTACTTTTTTAGTTTTATTCCGAAATTACTAATAAAAGTTTCGGAGATGAAATTTCTTGGCAAAATTGCATAATTTCTTCATCTTTTTCCATGGAACTTTTTGGAAAGTTTTAGAAATAATCTTAGTGGTTAGATAAAAAAAATCTTTTTCTTTGTTTTTTTATAAATAGGAGTGGTTTTTGCTTTTGTTTTTTCCTTACCTTTATGGTCTAAAATTAAGTTTTTTTTTAAGTTTTTAAGTTCTTTTTTTTTACGCAAATAAAGTGAGTTTGTTGCTTTTTCTTAGATTGTTTTTACCACTTTCTTTACTAAAAATCTTTTATCTTTTTTTAGTTCAACCGCTTTTTTTTATTTTTATCTTTACGACTTTTTTACGACTAACCATGGGCTTTTGGAGTTTCGTTGGAAAAACAGTAATCTCAACTGTTGTGGCTGGTTCAATTATTGCTAGTGGTGGTGCTACTGTTCCCCTTCTCCTAGCAACAGGGGCAACTGGTTATGCAGCAGGAAAAATCACGAAAGAAATAGCAAAAGCCAACGATAGTGAATTTTGGGAATGGGTAGGCGATACCATCTCAGACACAGGTGTCGGTGTGTTTACTGGTGGTGTAATAGGGACAGATGTGATAGGAAAAGGAAGTAAAAGTCTCGCTTCCGCATTTGCTGATAATGCTTTAAAAAAAGGAATGAGAGTAGCTAGCACCAATAGTTGCAAGGTCTTAATCAATACGTGGGCTTATACAAAGATGGTTCAGTGTGGTTATAAAGTTTGTGGCAATGGAAAAAAGGCTTGGGAGGCTCTTTTCAATCTTCTTCATAATAAACATAAAGAGGAGGGAATTAACTATGAATCTGAGTGTCCAGTATGCAATGGAAACCTCGATAAAATTATTTACGAATTTATTTAAAATTAGAAGATATGCCGTTTGGTAAATGTCCTTCTAAAAAATTTTTGATTTTTGTTCTTTTTTTTTATCTTTTTGTGAGTGCTATAACATTTATTTTTTGTAAGGAAAAGGACTTTCGTGTGCTAGTTGGCTTATTAACCTATTTACCTTTTAATTTCTTTCTTTATTTAATAATTAGAAAACTCGCGAAGAACAAAAGAATGGGCATTAGTTATATCTCTCGTCTCTGATTAATTTTTTATCTTTTAATTTTTTCTGCTTTTCTTTCATTACTTTTATAAGTATTTTTAAATAGTTGAATTATTTTTTTTCTTTCCCTAATTCGGTCAGGTTTTAGGCAAAGTTTTTTTTAGTTGCTCTTTTACAACTATTTTTTATCTCTTTTATATTTTGTAGTTAGGTTTTTACTCGACTTTGTTTTTTCTCTTCTTTATTTCGTTTTTTTATGTATTTTTTTTAAGTTTTTGTCGACAAAATTATGGTTAAATAAACTTTCTTTTAAAAAATAAGTGACTTTGTAAAGTGAAAAGGCGAAATTTATTAAGTTCCCTAGTAGGGAATGCAGTTTATTTTTCGGAACAGAAAAAATGGTTTAAAAAGTGTTGGGGGATAGAGATAGGGGGAGGGTTGGAGAAGTATGGGAGTTTTACCGGTTAATGCTGGTTGCACTAGAAAAGAAAACTTGCCGAGACTTTAAGAAATAAAACTGAGTTAGAAAAACAAAAAGAGAAAGAAAAGTTAAAAACTCTTAATATGCCATTAATACCTTGAGAGTATATAGAAAAATTTCTTCTTTTACCAAAAACTACTCCTAAAAAACTAGCCGAGAAATTAACCTATTATGGTTTAGAAACAAAAATAGTTGAATGCAAAAATAGTTTGTATTTGGAATTTGACCCCCTTCCTAACCGTCCAGATTTATTTTCATGATTAGGTCTAATTCAAGAAATAGGAATTATATTAAATTGCTCAGTAAAGTCAATTAGTTTTCCAACTATAAATGAAAGAAAGGAGAAATTAGTTGAGGTAGCAATTAACACAAGCGATTGTTCAGAATTCTACTTAGGATTAATAAAGAATATTGAGGTTAAAGAAAGTCCGGAGTTAGTGAAAGAATGATTAACAATGAATAATATTCGCTCAATTAATAATGTGGTGGATAGTGCTAATTTAGTAATGTTAGAAAGTGGACAACCACTTCACATTTTTGATTACGACACCTTGCCAGAAAAGAAAATGATAATTCGCTCAGCCTACTCGGGAGAAAAAATGAATGCCCTATACGGCCAAGAATTAGCACTTAATTCAGAAGATATTGTGGTAAGTTCAAGAGATAAAGTTATTAGTTTAGCAGGAATTATTGGCGACCAAGCCACTGCATTAACTCCTAACACTAAAAATATTCTGATTGAATGTGCTACTTTTAATCCCACCACCATTAAAAAAACCACTAAGCACTTAAATGTTTCTACGGCCGCTAGTAATTTTTTCTCACGCCGAACTAATTTAATTTTAACTGCTCAGCAGGTTCTTGCCCGAATTATTTCCCTTATCGTTGAAACATACCAGGGAGATTTAGACTCCGGGACATTTTTCTCTTATCATAAAACAGAAAAAAAGGAACCAACAGTTGCTATTAGCCACGAATTTATTAGCAAAAAAGTTGGACAAGTGCTACCTGAGCAAAATATTGAAAGAGCTTGACAACAACTAAAATTTACTTATCAAAAAAAAACAAACATTTATTATGTCAATTCACCTTTATCACGACCAGATATCACCAGTCCGGAAGACTTGTTAGAAGAATTATTGCGGATTTATGACTATAACAAAATAGTTAACGCACTACCTGATAACTTTCCAACTGCCATTGTTAACCACAAAAAAGAATTCTTAAAACAAAAAAGAATTCTTAAAACTTATCTAACTAACCAAGGTTGGCAAGAAATTATTACTTATTCATTAATTTCGTCGGAAATGAGGAACGAGTTTAATTATTCAGTTAGTGATGATTTTTTTCAATTACTAATGCCAAAAAATGAGTATCACGAATATTATCGGCAAACTCTTATTCCTAGTCACCTAAAAACTTTGAAATACAATCTTTCTCATGGAAATAAAGATCTCTTTTTTTTTGAAATTAGTTCAGTTTATGGTTCTCCCCAACAACAAGAGGAATTACTGGCTTTAAGTGGAGTAGGTAAATTTTTTAATCAACCACTTCATAAGTTAGTCCAAGAAATAGACTTTTACTGACTAAAAGGAGTATTAGAAAATATTTTTAGTTTATGGAAGATAGAAAAAGAAATTTCTTTCACTCCCCCTTCCCTTAATTACTTATCTTTTCCTCAAAGTGCAGAAATATTTATTGGTAAGGAAAGAATAGGTTTTTTTGGTCGTCTCCACCCCCAAATTGCTCAAAAATATCAAATTAATGAGGCAGTATTTATTGCTCAAATTTCTTTAAGTCGGATAATTGACTATTTAAACAATTTCTCCACCCAAATATCTTATCAGCCAGTTTCTAACTTCCCAAGCAGCACCAAAGATTTATCATTTGTCTTTTCTGAAAATATTAATTATGACAAAGTTATTAAACTAATAAGGGAGATAGCGGGCAATAATTTACAAGAAATAAAGGTTTTTGATGTTTATCAAAGTGCCGAGTTGGAGAGAACAGAAAAAAAATCAGTTAGTTTCCACCTAGTTTTTCAAAGCCCTATCAAGACCCTAGAAAGCAAAGAAATAGAAAAAATATTAGAGAATATTATCGAAAGGGTGGAAAAAGTATTTGCGGCAAAATTAAGGGGTTAGTAATTTATTAATGAACTTAATTTAGGACAACAAAAACCTTTTTTTGCTTCCTAAACTTTTTTAGACCCGACTTCTTTTTATCAGCCTACACGGTTAAATTTTATCAATTCATCCCCTCCCTAATTCTTGGAATAATAGGAGCAATTTTAGTAGTTGAGATAGTTTTAGCAGTGATTGTTGGAGTAGCATTAAATCCTTTAGAAAATCCTTTAAACTAGGTTTTTTAACTTTCAATAACTACTTTCGGAGCGGGAATTAGCGTGTAAATAATTCCCGCATCTTTTAACATTCTTTTGGCAGCAATTATCGCCTCTTTTTCATTGTATTTATCATTAGAGTAGAAAATTTGTTTTATTCCTGCTTGGATAATTAATTTAGTGCATTCATTACATGGAAAAAGAGTAGTATAAAGGGAAAAACCATGACAATCTTGTCGAGCGTGAATTATAGCGTTAGCCTCCGCATGAACCACATAGGGATATTTAGTTTCTAGTTGGTTTTGGTTATCGTTTTCTCAGGGATAATTATCATCCTTGCAACCTCATGGTAAGCCGTTATAACCAGTAGCAATAATTTCTTTATTAATATTAACGATGACTGCCCCAACTTGGGTATTGGGGTCTTTGCTCCGTAAAGCAAAATTTTCCTAATATGATAAATTTAATTTGAGTCATGGATGAAAATTATCTGATTGGAAAAGATAATAAATTGCCTTGAAAAATTTCCGCTGAAATGAAATATTTTTCGCAAACTACTTCCAAAAATACAGTTTTGATGGGGGCAAAAACTTTCGAAAGCATTGGCAAGCCACTAAAAAACCGCCATAATATAGTAATTACTAGAAATCCAGAAAAATATAGGAACTGGCAGGAAAAAAATCTTACTTTTACTACTGAGTGAAAAGAAATTTTAAAGTTCTATAAAGAAAATCCCAATAAGCATATTTTTATCATTGGTGGTCGGGAAATTTATCAACAGACTTACTTTTCCGCCGATTTTTATTATGTTTCGGTGGTAAGAGGAAAATATGAAGGTAATGTCAATTTTCCTTTTCCGGATTGAGAAGTAAATGAAAAACGAGAAAATCGTTCATTAGAAAAGCCGTTTAAAAATTGCAAACTAATTAAAAAAGAGGAATTTTCTGACTTTACTGCTTATGTTTATCGTGTTCCAACTAGAATTCTCTAACCTTTGAAAACGAAAAATAAATGTTATAGCACTCACAAAAAGATAAAAAAAAAGAACAAAAATCAAAAATTTTTTAGAAGGACATTTAC